GAGGGGGTGGGGGAGCAAATTGGCTGGCAGCGAGTGGGACTGACCTGGGCACTTGCTGCCTGTCCCGCGCAGGTTTCCAGCGACGCACAAGCGAGGAGGCGGCTTCCCCTCCTCACTCTCAACTGACTGAGGGCTCCAGGCGGCAATTGCGGCCCGGCCTCCCAGCTGCTCCCCCTGCCCACGCCAGGCTTCCATCCGGTGTGCAGCCGGAAAAATCCGAAAATATCTGACATTGCACGTGTCCGGTATTTTCTGATTTTTTTTTTTTACCAGACAGAGCATGCAAATACCAGACTGTCCGGTATAACCCCTGAGGCATTGTCTGTGACTGCACCCTATCACAAGGGCAATGCCTGCTCTTAGAAGGGCAGTGTCTCAGCATTTGGGCTGCCTTTTTTTTGTGTGTGTATGTTCAACAACTTTTTTCCCTCGGCTCTTTGCACTGTATCCACCACTATTTTGGCTCTTCATCTGTAACGAATTGGCCAGCCCTGTTATAAACCATTTAGAGTGTATTTATAGCAAGTGGTAAGCTTCGTTTTCTAATACTGCATACAATAGCTGTAGCTAAGTCATTTTACGCTTTTTGGTTAGTCAAAACAAGAGTACAGGTAGAAGTAGCAATAATAATATTGTATATAAGATCTTGAATGGCAGTAGAACTCTTCTAGGTCAGCAAAATGTATATTTTAAGTTACAAACATAATCCTTTCTCTCCAAGAGTCAAATTTTCCTGGCCCAGTATCCACAGTTGACATGGGCTCTACTGAAACATTTTGCCACAAGTAATATGCCTTTTAAGTTTTGAGAAATCACCAAATGTAGCAAAGGGGTTAAGAGGACCTTTTTTGGCTTAGCATATGTCACTTGGGAAGGAATTTGATCTAAACCAATAAAAAGCACTTTTATACTAGAGTAAGTGTGTCTACCTGAAGAATTTATACTTGTATAACTAAATTAGTTTCACTACACCAATATAAACTGGTAAAACTTTCCTGCGTAGACAAGCCCCAAGTGGCAAACTTTTTACCCTAGAAATAAAAGATCTCTATTGCTTGAACTGATGGGGAATTCTTGCAGCTGCCAATAGTTGAATATCCTATATTCTCTTTCTTTGCCAGCTTCTCGAGAGCAGTGTTGTCATACAGCACCTGAAAGTGTTTGGGTTTGTTGCATACAAATGAAAAGGCACTTTGTACTGAAGTGTTTTATAATATAGAGTTCGCTATTTTTTTCCCCTGTGAAAATGTTTGGGGTATAAAAATTATTTGTAATTTCTCGTTTTCAAATGTGTCAGTGGTTTTTTGTTTTGTTTGTTTGTTTGTTTGTTTGTTTGTTTGTTTTTCAGGAGAGAGGCTCTAAAATTGTATGGTGATAAATCTAAGTAAGTGTGTGAGGAGAGTTTGCAGGCTCATGGCCTAAATATGAAAGGACTCAACAAAAGGACAGGGAAAGAACAGGTGTTACAGAATTAAGATCCTGTGACTATTGATAGGTTATCACATTGGTGCAGAAACACACATTTGTTTTTGAATGTTCTATAATTAGTAATATTTTGTCACTTTGGCACACACAGCCCTGGTACCTAACGTCGTTTCCAATTCCCCAATTAAATAAATCTCATGTTTCTCTGTTGATTTCATATGGCTAATCACATGAAAACGTTGTGCTTGTTGAGGTCTTTCATTTCACATCCTATATGTCATATATTTTATATTTACAGATGAAGTTGGTGGCGGCTCCTGCATTTTGCTGATCCTGTTGTGCATAGCAACTGTTTTCCTTAGCGTTGGAGGAACTGCACTGTACTGTACCTTTGGAAACATGGAATCTGCTGTATGTACTGACTTTGAAGCCAACGTGGACTTTTACTATACCCAGATATTGCAGGGTGTGGAGGAACTTAAACACTGGATAGCCTTCTCTTAGTTGACAGGACAATACGCTGACAGGTCACCAGTGATTACCAGAGAAGGTAAAAAAATGGTGATTTCAAGTTGTCTAATATGTGCCACCTTTTAGGTGACGTACAATTGATGACATAAACCTAACCTTTAAATACCAGTTGAGAAGGACTCTCTGATCTTGTAATCAGGTGGGGAGAAATAAATCAAGTGTGGATTGGGAGAATAAAAGCAAAATGTCATTGCCTTCACCTTTTGAAACCAAGAGAACCAGCCATTCGACATCTTTGGGAAGTGAAGAAGAAATAACAACTGATCCGCCTCTGTACAGTCTCCCATTGCCACACATTGTAAGCAATCTTTGCAATCTTAGTGAAAGGACAATTTTGATTTACAGCTGTTTGCACAAAAGTGTTGCCTCTCGCTATCATGCAATAAGTCTGTGTTTTATGAAAATGTTTCCTTATTTTTCTTTTAAGTCTTAATGTCTTTATTTTAAATGACCTGGTAAGCTGTTTAATTATGGGTGGAGTGAGGAGAATGCATTAGCATTCGCAGTGCCTCATACTATATAAAGGGATTGACCTTATGTCTTTAAGTTTGTGGGCAGTTATCATGAGTGGGTAAATCTGCAGGCAGTTTTGCCAGATTCTATGGAATTTTAATCCAAAAATTGGATCGATTCGTGTTGGAAATTTGTGGGATTTTTCAATGAAAATTTATTCCCAGAAGACTTAAGTGTAGAAAATTATTCTTACTCATACTAGTAAAGCAGCTTGGGCCAATGTGATTAGGAATCAGAATAAGTGGGTTCTCTTTCCAACTTTACCACTCTCTTGCAGTGACTTCTCTGCCTTAGTTTCCCCATCTGCAAAATGGAGATAATTATCCTTGATAATTATCCCCCTCTGTAAAGTGCTTTAACATCTGCAGAGGGAGAGTGGTATAGAATTATCTGGTGTTGTTATAAGTGCCCAGAAGTTTTGTTCAGGTTGGCATAGAGCCAAGACCAGCTACAAAGTTCAGAGGTCAAACTGCCATGTGTTTTTCTATTTACCTCTGAGCTTTACTGAGTCACTTTGAATAAAACTGATTCTATTTCACCATGTCTGGTTCTCAAGGAAAATCCTCTCCATCTCTTTGACATTTTATTTCACCCTGATCTTTCAACTCCTTCATATATTCTGATCACTCCTTTCATGGAGATTTACTTCTCCTAGATTTTTTTTCCTCTCCTTTTCCTTTCAGATTCCAGGTTGAACGGGAAAAACAAATCAAACTATTTTGAGACTATCGATATTTTCATTTTTGCAACTTGCAATCTTATTTATATGGGAGATCCCTTCATACTAATTTATTATCAGTGGAATAGTTTAAACTTGTGTTATTTTAGTCCATGGTTCATTTAGAATATATCATAGAGATTAACAGAGCAGTTCATATCTCACCATATTCATTTTAGTCTTCTGTCTGCAGACTTGGGAAGGCAGCATTGTGGTCATTCATATTTAAAAAGGTAACTGCAGCAAGGAGACTCAACATAATTTTTAAAATGCCAATAAAATCTTCAAAGCCATAGAACACATTTGGAAACATCTAAAACATGGGAAGAGCTCTTAGAGTTGCAGTGTATCACATGTATCTGTCAGGAGGAAATCTATGAACTCAGGGCCAAATCCTTGGGTACTGTACACCTCTGTGAAAGGGCCAATAGGGGATACTGTTCAGAGTTGCAAGAGCCTTGGAGAGCCCATGGATTTCACAGGTAACATTATCAAAAGTTTGTATGTCCCATTTTCACATGTGACTTAGGCATTTTGGATTTGATCCTATGCTTGTCAAAGTCAATGATAAAATACCGGTTGACTTCAGTGGAGAGGAGCAGACCTTTGGAGCCTAGGTCTCTCTGCAACTCAGTGGGACCTAGTTTGTAAGTGCCTAAGACTCTCTTGAAAAAGGGACTTGGACATCTCAGACACTTGATGTTTTAGACAAATTTGCTCTAAATACTACTGGGGGCTGTGCCCCTGCTTGCTATGCTTCCAAGCCCCCTCTCTCTGCAGGTAGGCAGCCTCAGCTCTCCCCCTGGCCGCTGAGGAGAGCCGGGCTGTGGCGTGGCAATCTTGTACCACCCTTTCCCATGCCCTACACCAGGCCAAGGCTGTGCCAGCCCTGGCTCTCCCACTCTCTCCCCCCAGCCACCGAGCTGAGTCTGTGCCAGCCCCAGCTCTCCCACTTCTACCTCCACCTCAGAGGAACAGGAAAGGAGGGAGGCCATGCAGCTGAAGGTAGAGGCAGGCAGCAGGATGCAGAGTGACATGTTGAGGTCACTGTCATCCTGCAGGAAGGGGTTGATGTTTTTTGAGAGAGAGCGAGAGAGAGATTATACAAAAGAGGGATCCCCACAGCAGGGGTGGCTGAAATCCTGGCTTCATTTAAGTCAATGACTGGATTTCTCCCTAACTAACTCTCCCTGGGATGGGGATATGTAGGGAGCCTGGCCTGAGGACCTGTGTTATCACAACATGGTGTAAGTGGAGGTAGTCATCTGTAGCTGCTAATTCTGTCGTTGTTTGACAATAACTGTAAGTGAGTCAGCTGTGCAGGTGCCTCAGGTCATATGGGTTGCAGTCACAGAGGAGGATTCCATCTTGCTCATCATTCCTTTAGGCAAAACACTTTTTACTCTGGCTTTGCTCCCAGGATTGAGATTTGAGTCACTTAAATTTGCTCTGTTTTTCAATACCGGTTGACCGCCTCTAGTCCAGCGCGCTCTGGTCCAGCAACATCCATGGTCCAGCATGATTTTAGTTAGCTGAATGTCCATTTATCATGGGTGTTGCCAAGTTTTCCATGGTCCGATAAAGTTTGTTTACAGCCACCAGTCCTAGCTCTCAGTGTTCAGGGCTGTTACTTAGCTCTACTTTACCCCAACTGCAAGCAGTGACATCCTGTGTTTGGGGAAACTCTCTGGTTTGGCATGTGTCAGATCCCCAAGTTGCTGGACTAGAGAGGTTCAACAATTTTTAAATTGTAATAATGAATTGTTTTAAATGAACTGCTATTTTTTGCTTGTGCACAGCCCTTCGTATTTGTAGGGCAGAGAACTGCTGACAAGATAGTGAAAAACAAGGTTGGATTGTAGGGCCCTTTGCCCTAGTCATGACCAGAATATGGCAGGTGCTTCTGCTAATGGCTCAATGAACTAGCCAGTGGAAGAGCTCTGAGATGAGTGTTGTTTGAAATTATACCTCTTCTGTCTCAGGATACAGTCTGCTTGGCGACTACAATTCACTCCACCCAATGTTTTAAATGCTTACTAGGTTTATATGATGGTATATGTTCAGGTTTAAGTATTTACTGTATAAAATAACATGAAGTGAAATTATCAAGATATCACTCAGAATTAGAACATGATGATGCTTTCTTGTATTTGCAGGTAGGTTGTCCCTTTAGTAAGCTTGACTATTCCTAATGCACTCTCATGAGTATTTTTTTAAGTGAAAGTTGAAATCACTATTTTACAGAAAAAATGGCTTGTGTGGTTTTTGTTTTATGTACCCCATCTCTGAGGGTTGGCTTACACCTTAGGAAGCCTCACTTGCAGCTTTATATTATAACTAGCAATTTAAAATGTCTAGATTAATGAAAAACTTTTGCTTTCTAAATGAAATATGAGAACAATATTGTCTTTTTTTCCCCAAGTAGGGCCTTGTGTTTCATGTTGTTGTAATGCTGGGTTAATCTACAAAGAGAGAGGGAAAATTGCTTTTATATTCTGAAGTGTTACTGGCTGGTTCAGTACATCACTTTGTCTGGGTTTATTTATTTAATTCCAGTTGATTTTAAAGAAATTCTCTTATTTTCCTCTTATTTTTTGTAAACTGCTGATGGAGTGTTGATAAGCATGCATTCAGTTGTTACCGAACTGTATTTATAATTACTGTGCAGTTAGTGTGTTTTTGAGTTTGTGTAACTTTTGAGTTTGTCAATGTTTAAGCATATTAAGTTTGTTTAAAACTCCAACTGTTAATTTCAGCTTAAAAAAAAAAACCCACGTTAAGTGTGTGTGTCACCAAAAACATCCCGCATTGGAGCCAAAAGTATTTATTTAAAAGTATATCAGATACAGAGATCAAAGATCCTTATACTTTAGATTCATATTATTACAAACTATTTTAAAGCTGCTCAATTGTAAATTTTAAAGAGATAATTGACAAGGTAATTTTTAAAAAGCAGTTCACTTTGCACTTGATGGCCTGCACTGTGGCATGGATGCTTTGTGCTGCATTGCCAGAGTAAAGCCACTTCAAAATCCACATAACTGGCCACAGGAGGATCACCAAGGGTACCTTCAGTGACAGAGCCAGTGTGACTGCTCCTTCTCTGCCCCTCCCTGCTCTGTTGCTTGTGCTAAGGGCGTGGCAGGAAATTATGAACAGTCTCTAGCTGGTGTAATTTAGAGCATCTTTCCAGCTGAGCCTGGACTGAACCTTATTCAGATACCTTTGTAAAACGCTGGTGGCACTAATTCTCGTTTTACATGACAGTTCTGTTAGCAGAAATAGCTCACGTGGGCTATGGTGGATTACCAAATGCTTGGTTAAGTACACAGCAATATTACTGTACTTGGAGTAGGAATGTAAGCGGTTAGTTGAGTGACTACTTGATTAGTCATCCCCCCCCCTTCGCTGCTTTTATCATGGCAACAAGTGGGGGAAGCAGGAGCCGGTGTTTGGGGGAGCCAGCTTAAAAGCCTGTTCCACCCCATGGAGATAGTGCTCAGAGGGGCAGCAGAAGAGGCAGAGGCGCAGCAGGGGACCAGATGCAAACTGGGAATCAGCTGTCCCGGATCGCGCAGAGTTCCAGATGCTGCAGCTCTGCCCTTTAAATGTATTAAAAGTCTGGCAGATCTTACTACATTTAAAAGACAGAGCCACAGTGGGGTTAGTTCTTAGGGCTGGGAGCTAACCATGCTGTGGCTCTGCAGTTTCCCCTTAATTGACTAATTGAGTAGTCGATGGAAATTCAGTCGACTACTCGATTAGCCGATTAAACGAAATTTAACATCCGTAACTTAGACATCAAAATAGTTTGTGGGTAAGGCCAACTTGGTGACCTTCCTGCACGTTCTGCTCCATTTAGATTAGGGCCTTGCAGTCTGGTAAATCCAAACTAAAGGGAAACCATCAATTCAAGAAATTACTCTTCTGCCTGAAAACTTTGTAGCTAGTAACAAGCAACAGCTGAGATTACTGTAACTGAAAGAAATGGGGAGGGGAGAAGGTATTTGATTACTCTGTGCATATGATAGCCAATTTCAATTAGTCCTCCCCCCATTGCTTGTAGGCATGTTCTACATAGCAACGGGGAGAGAACTCATTCTAAAAACAGGATTATACAATGGTAAATTTGTAACATCTGGTAGATGGATACAGGAGCTGGTGTCTTCTTCAAAGCTATTTGAAACTCCTTTCTTAAAATATGACTAGATTTCAACTAGGGCTGTCGATTAATCACCTTTATTTCAAGAAACTAACTAAAAAAATTAATCATGATTAATCCGTTTTAATTGGAGTGTTAAACAATAGAATACTAGATAGAAATATTAAACGTTTTAGATTTTTTCTACATTTTTAAACATATTGACTTCCATTACACTTTATAGTATTTTTATTACAAATATTTGCACTGATAAACAAAAAATGATAAACAAAAGAAATAGTATTTTTCAGTTCACCTCGTGCAAGTACAGTAGTGCAATCTCTTTAGCATGCAAGTGCAATTTACAATGAAGTTTTTTTGTTTCATAATTGCACTAAAACAATACAGTGTAAAACTTTAGAGCCTACAGTTCCATTCAGTCTTACTACTTGTTCAACCAGTCACTAAGACAAACAAGTTTGTTTACATTCATGGAAGAAAATGCTGCCCGCTTCTTGTTTACAATGTCTCCTGAAAGTGAGACCAGATGTTTGCATGGCACTTCTGTAGGGTATTTATGTGCAAGTTATGCTAAACATTCATAGATCCCTTCATGCTTTGGCCACCATTTCAAACAACATACCTCCATGCTCATGACACTCATTAAAGAAGTGTGTTAATTAAATTTGTGACAGAACTCTGTGGGGGAGAATTGTATGTCTCTTCATCTGTTTTACCACATTCTACCCTGTATTTCCTGTTACGATAGTCTTGGATGGTGACCCAGAACATATTGTTGTTTCAAGAACACTTTCTTAACTGCAGATTTGACAAAAAGCAAAGAAGATGCCAATGTGAGATTTCTAAAGATAGCTACAGTCCTCAGCCTAAGGTTTAAGAATCCAAAATACTTTCTAAAATCTGAAAGGGCCGAGATGTTTTCAAAAGTTTTAAAAGAGCAATACTCTAATGTGGAAACTACAGAATCTGAAAAACAAGCTTCTGCTGACTCAGATGATGAAAATGTATATACACTGGTCTGCACTGAGTTGGATCATTATTGAGCAGGGCCCATCATCAGCATGATGAAATGCATGTTCTCTGGAATGGTGGTAGAAGCATAAAGGGACGTATGACTCTTTAGCACATCTGGCACCTTAGTATCTTGCAACACTGGCTAAAACAGTGCCATGTGAACATTTCTCACTTTGAGGTGACATTGTGAACAAGAAGCGGACAACCATTCTCTGCAAATGTAAACAAATTTGTTTGTTTAAGCAATTGGTGTACAAGAAGGAGGACTGTGTGGATCTGTAGGCTCTAAAATTTTACATTGTTTTATTTTTGAATGCAGGGTTTTTTTTACATAATTCTACATTTATAAGTTCAATTTTCATGATAGAGATTGCACTACAGAATTTGTAATGCTAAAATTGAAACTTTATTTTTTACAATGCACACATTTGTAATAAAAAATAGTGAGCACTATACTCTTGGTATTCTGTGTTGTAATTGTAGTCAATATATTTAAAAATATAAACCATCCAAAAATATTGAAATAGTATTCTGTTATTGTTTAACAGCATGATTAATCTCACTTTTTAATGCAGATTGAATTTTTTAATTGGTTGACCGCTCTAATTTCAATTCGAGAATGTTCCTTTAATCATGTGATCACTCCTCTGAAGGCACTTTGCCCGCAGCCTCCTTGTTCTACCCCTCCACTAAGCGTGTTTGAAGTCTTGCAAATACTTTCGCTCTTTTTTGTTTTGGTGCCTAGAGGAAGGATGTACAATTTTGACTGCTAACAGTAGGAAAGAGAAAGCCACAGCAAAATAGTGGAAACTTGTTATTGAAATTATGTGAGTGAAGGACAAGCTTGAAATCTCAATAAATCAGATTAGGTTGAAATTGAGATTTCAACTGAGGGATGTTCCAATCATGACTAAATGGCTGCTACCCTCATATGAAAACAATGTTGCCTAATTCTGTTAACCAAGACCATTCAAAGGAACTAGCTATAATCTATAAGAAATCTAACATGAGCCTTCTTTGGCAAAGGAAGGCAGTAACTGTATTTGAGAACATCAGCTAAGCTTGTAAATGAAATATTGTAGCAAAAAAAAATAAAGTGTCCCAGAGAAAATGTCTGAACCTTTTGGGTGCTGTGATTTATAAGGATATAAAAAAAAGAGGGATTGCCTGTGGGATGAAAGGAAATAGGAAGTATTTCCAGTAATTAGTTTAGGCAACAATCCTAAAACATGCTTGTGAATCAAGAACTATTGGGCGGGGGGGATTTGAGTTTTTTTTTTTTAAATCCAAGAATGCATGTTTTGTAATACTTTTACTACTTTTGTGTCACACACATTGAGTTTTTCCTCTTGTTGTTCTGACAGTTTTACTAAATCCCTTGACTCTGCTAAATGCAAAACCAGTTAGTTTTCAGCACCATAATTTAATGTACCCATCATTCTAAAGTCAGATTGGTACTTTGTAACTTTCCAGTGCCCTAATGACGGATCAGGGCCCCATCTTGCTCTTATTGAATTGAATGTAAAACAAAAACAGAAAATCCTAATTTCTTCAATAGGAGCAGAATGCAGTATTGCCAACCACAGGTGCTCAAAAAATCATGAGTCACACCTGAAAAGTTTGTGAGATTTGGCTAAAAAATATGAGATTTCAGAATTTTTAAAAGGTGGTGGTTCATTTTATTTGCCTCTGGTTGTAGGCTGAAACCTAAGTGGAGGTTCTTATGTGATCACATGGACTCCAGGATCTGAGGCTTTAAGAAATCACCAAGTACCATCAGATTGGCAAGTTACAAGAGTTGGCAACACTAGTATGAGTCCTACACATGCTTTGTTGGTTTGTAAGCCTTGCACAACTGGTCAGTGATTGCATAGAGTCTCTTTGCAACCCTCCAGTCCCTCCTTACAAACTCTCTTCATGCCAATCTGTCATCCCCACGGGTAGTGGGTATAGGAGGCCAGGGGCGGCTCAGCCTCCCCAAACAAGATGCCGCACATCTTTCTTTGGAAGCACGCTGCCAGCCTGCCACCCTTGGAGCATTTCCACGTTCTGCCCTCAGGCCCCAATCACCCTAATGCTGCTCCTCTTCTTGCCCTCGCTCCCCCTCCTGCTGTCCCCACTCTCTCTCTTCTCCCAGAGCCCCACTGCTTGTGCTTCTCTGCCCTTCCATCAAGCCTGTCCATCACTCAGGTTTTTCTGTTCCCTAAATAAGATGCCAGTGTTATGCTCTGTGCAGTGGGTACAATGTCTCCTCCCTTCCAAGCTGCTGCAGGGCTGAATCACTCAGTGTGCACCAGGCACCAGACAGGGCTGGTTACGGGTAAGCGGTGGGGAGTGAGCAATATCAACTGAAATGGCCACGATAGGAGGGGAACCCCTGCCACTCCACCTGCCCCAGAATCCTTCAGAACCTTCTGGTAAACAGCAGACAGCAATTAAAGGTGCCTAGGGACAACAAATGCCCCTCTCCCCAGTTTTAATACTGGTTCAAAGTTCCACAATGGGTGGAAGGGAATGAAGAGGTGTGGGTAGGGGGAACCTCAGGGGAGGGTCCCTGTCTGAGGAGTGGGAGTGCAATATGAGCAGAGCTGTGGGGAGAGGTGGCTGAATTCAGGAAGGCCTCTGGGAAGAACAGGGGCTGAGGCCACTGTCTTGGTGCTGGTGGCCCCGACACTCCTAAGGTGCTTCCAGCACTCAGACCAAACCTTCCTGAATGTGGGGGGAAGTCATGCG